AAAAATGATAATTATCACCAATCTTCTCATTATCTCTATTATTAGTAGTATTTTCTTAATCTTATCCTTAGTATCAGCATCATCATTATTAGAATAATCATAATTATCGTTATTATCATTATTCCTATTGTTATTATTATCCTCATCATCATTATTATGATCACCATTACTAATACCACATAAAAATGAATAGTAGAATTGAGAATAACAGCTACTGGTTAAAAATGACTATCATGATGATCATTACAATAAGGCGATGAAGCTAAGGTTCTGGATCGCAACCACAGTGGCCCTCCTCGCCTCCTCCTCCTCGCCCCCTCCTCCTCGCCCCCTCCTCCTCGCCATGAAGGGGGCACAGGAAAAGGCGGAAACATTTTTCTTTTTTTTTTCTACTGGTTTGATTTTCATGCACACCCTCTTCATTAGTCTTTCCCTTTCTCTCTTTCTCTCTCTAATTATATTTCTCTCTTTCACTCTCTCTCTCTAATTATATCTCTCTCTCTCTCTCTCATTATCTCTCTCTCTCTCTCTCTGTCTCTCGCTCTCTCTCTCATTATATTTCTCTCTCTCTCACTCTCTCTCTCTCTCTCTCTCTCTCTCTCTCTCTCTCTCTCTCTCTCTCTCTCTCTCTCTCTCTCTCTCTCTCTCTCTCTCTCTCTCTCTCTCTCTTTCACTCACTCTCTCTCTCTCTCTCTCACTCTTCTCTCTCTCTCTCTCCCTCTCTCTCTCTCTCTCTCTCTCTCTCTCTTTCTCCCTCCCTCTCTCTCTCTCTCTCTCTCTCTCTCTCTCTCTCTCTCTCTCTCTCTCTCTCTCTCTCTCTCTCTCTCTCTCTCTCTCTCTCTCTCTCTAATTCTCTCTCTCTCTCTCTCTCTCCTCTCTCTCTCTCTCCCTCCCTCTCTCTCTCTCTCTCTCTCTCTTCTCTCTCTCTCTCTCTCTCTCTTCTCTCTCTCTCTCTCTCCTCTCTCTCTCTATCTCTCTCTCTCTCTCTCTCTCTCTCTCTCTCTCTCTCTCTCTCCTCTCTCTCTCTCTCTCTCTCTCTTATATAATTATATATAATATATATATATATATATATATATATATATATATATATATATATATATATATATATATATATACTCCATGCTCGCCACTTTACAGATGAAGCAATAGACCGCTATCTTCATTGTACTTTTTCGGAAGTCGTGCGAAACAGAGGGTAAATGGGCGAGATATTTGTTGATAATCGGTGCCTGTTTTCTATTTTTTTATTGTTCCAAATTTGAGAAGCTGACGAGACTTGACTGACCCTACGGCCCTTACTCATCTCTCCACACAACTGTAGCGTGGACAGAGGAATGAAGCCCTTCTTCTTCCCCAACACACGTGGAACACCTGAAACACAAAAGCTATTAGCGTTTGATCATTTGCTGACACGCACCTGTTGTTCTTAAGTGAGATTCCAATGCTATCATTACTATTTCTAACATTCATTACTATTTTATTTCTACGTCTCTAAGGGTCCGTACTTTAAAAAACGGAGGCGTTCACGAGCGTTTCAAATCCTTACTTTAAAACAAGGCAGAGTCAGGGACCGTCAGCGCCACCGCTGGCGTTCAGCCGCCACGAAAAGTGCTATCTTCGGCGTTAATCACTACTACCAAGGGAACCAGAACATATATATATATATATATATATATATATATATATATATATATATATATATATATATATATATATATGTGTGTGTGTGTGTGTGTGTGTGTGTGTGTGTGTGTGTGTGTGTGTGTGTGTGTGTGTGTGTGTGTGTGTGTGTGTGTGTGTGTGTGTGTGTGTGTGTATGCATGTATGTATGTACGTATATATGCATGTATGTATATGAATGTATATACAGTATACACACACACACATATACACATCCGCGCGCGCGCGCACACACACACACACACACATATATATGTGTGAGTGTGTGTGTGTCGAACATGTCGAACATGTCGAAAGACATTCAAGCCGTCGCACCACCGCCACTCAGGTTCCAATAATACAACGCCGTTCGGAGCGTCGGACCACCAGGCGCTTGAAGCCAGGGTGTTTAAAGTCCGAAACTGGGCGAACGACAGCGCTGACACCGCCGCTAGACTTTTAAAGTACGGCCCTTAGTAGCTATCCGATTCACGCATGCATATTTTACATAATCTAAAGTGGCTGGCTGAGGTCGCGAGGCAGATGTTAAGACTTTCTCTCTGGGTTATTTTTCTACGTTTTTATGTTGATCATCAGAGCATATTCTACTGTTTAGGAAATGTGATATTGCATATTTCTTAGAGAATATTCAGTTGCAGTAACAAGAATCGGATAATCTCTCTCTCTCTCTCTGTCTCTCTCTCTCTCTCTCTCTCTCTCTCTCTCTCTCTCTCTCTCTCTCTCTCTCTCTGGGTGTGTATGTATGTGTGTTTCTATATGTGAATTTACCTCTCCATCTTTCTATATCTGCCTATCCTTCTCTGTTTCTGTATTGTCT